TGTGTGGAATCGCCGTCCCCAGGGCATCGTCCTGGGGAAGTCCCTGGAGTGCATGTCCCCTCCCCTAAGAGGAGGAGGAGGCTTGGACGTGTCCCCTGAACTGCCCTCTGGGGACCAGTGGTGACAGTCTCAGCTGAGCAGTGACACTGGGCCTCATGCTGGCAGACTGACCAGGTCACTTCAGCTGCCTGAGCCCCAGTGGGCGGGAAACAAGGCTGCTCAGGCCTGTGCCCACCCTGGGGGTCTCCAAGGTGATGTGAGACCAGCCCCTGGTGCCCAGGAGGCCTGGCCCAGGCCTTGTCACATCCCCTGCCCAGGACCAGGCCGTGGCAGGAAAGAGGAAGGTGGGAAGAGGGGAGGGAGGGAAGGGTGAGGAGGACCCTCGCTGCAGGGAGAGCCTCTGCGGGAGGCCGGGGAAGCTGGAGGGTGGGGGGACGGGCCTGCCTGGCAGGGAGAGACCACCGGGCACCCAGCCAGCTGGTGTGGGGGTGCTCTGGTCTGGGTGTTACCTGCTGAGTCTGCCGTGGCCGGGGAGGGTTTTCACTGAGAAACGCCTGCAGCCAGAGGCCCATGTGCGTGCGTGCGTGTGCATGTGCATGTGCGTGCGTGTGCATGTGTGCGTGTGCATGCACGTGCGTGTATGCGTGTGTGTGCATGTGCGTGCATGCGTGTGTGCATGTGCATGTGTGAATGTGCATGTGTGTGCGTGTGTGTGCATGTGCATGTGTGAATGTATGTGTGTGCGTGCATGTGTGCGTGTGTGCGCATGTGCGCGTGTGCATGCGTGTGCATGCGTGCGTGCGCATGTGTGTGCACCCGCACTTCAGCCCTTGTTTCGTGGTGTCCCCCACCACAGAGGGAGGAGTCCACAGGGCCGGAGGCCACCTGTTGGCCCCTCAGACCACTCTCTGGGAACCAGGACCCTGCAGCTGCTCACAGAGAGCCTCGGGCCCCTCCTGGCTGGCACAGGCCTCTTCTGCAGGCGCGTTCCCACGCGGCCGCCCGCGCTAAGGGCCCAGGGATGTGTGGGGGGGTGAGGTGATGCTGGGACATGCGGGCTGGGGAACCCGCACGCACACAGGGGCCTCGCAGGGGTGGACAGAGCAGGGTTGGGAGGGGAGGGGCGAAGGCTGTGGGCTGGGCCCCTTCCCTGCAGCCACATCTCGGCTCCAGACTCCGAGGAGTCCGTGGATTCTGCGTTTGGGCCGGGCCTTCCGCGTGTCGCGGAGCTGCATGTGCAAGGCAGGCGGGGCGCAGCTCTTGCTTAGCAGTGCGTGAGCTCGATGCGTGACCTGTGCAAACTTAACTGTGTGGACACGCGGCGTGGGGCCTCCCACGTGAGGGCAGGGGCGCTAGTTCGCGGCTGTCTCCCCAGAGCCCGGAGCAGAGGCTGCCGCAGGGCAGGAGCTCGAGGAGCGTTGGCGGGTGGAGGGATCCCGCCACGACACCAGCCTCCCCGTGTCCGTTGCCTGCCGTCCCCTGCTGTCCCCAAACCCGTCAGCGTCTTGAGTGCGTGAAAGAATCGAAGGCAGGCCGAGGCCACTACTTCAAAGGGGACTTTATTCACTGCTCGGAGCCATGTGCCGCCGCCCAGCTCCCGTGACACCGCCACCCCGCAGAGCCGGTGCTCAGCCCGGAACCGAGATTGCCTGGCACTGAAAACACATCTAAAACATCGACTCGCCGCCCTTTTTTTTCCTTTTTTGTTTTTTTGGTACAAAATGATACAAACAACAATACAAAATAGTTGTGCTGTTGACGGTTACAAAAAAAGTCGGAGCGTTTGTCTAACTGCGCAAAGCTCAGAGTTGCAGTGTGAATACATCGTACGCCAGTTTCTTTCCCCAAAACAACCACGGTCATGCGGGCTCTACACATTTTGTCCATTTTCAAAAAGAAACATGCAAAAAAAAAAAAATCAGAATGGAAAACGGAGAGAAAGGAGACGTAAAACGCGTTCCAATTGTACACAGAGGTGGATCCCGGACGGGTCGCATGGCGCAGAACCTACTATGTACACCGCGTCGCTCTGCGGGCGGGAGCTTGCTCTGACCTTTTCGGTGCTGTTCCTTTCAGCATCGGCAGAAACGGAAACTCCCCTCCCCCGGCTTTCTACCTTGGAGAGAACAGAGTTGTCACCTCCATGGACCGCGTGTGTCGGCTGGTGCTCTCGCTAGGGAAACTGAGGCATCTCTGAGGGCCTGACAACTGCCATGACTCTGACACTGTGGTGGCGGGAGGCCTAGAGTTTTGGATGCGCTGAAAGACACGAGAAAGAGAAACCCGCCAGGCCAGGAGTTGGGGTGCCCAGGCCCCCACAGGTGCCGTGGCCCCGGGCTGGGGGCCGCCTGCTGTTCCTGCCACCCCAGCCTGCGGCGCCGTTCTGCCAGCGCGGAACAGGAATTCCCTAAAGAAACAAACCACGCCCTTGCGCTCTGAGCTGCGGGTCCCCTGGTCCGCCGTGTCTACAAGCTACAGAGGAGACGTGTACGCTTAGCTAACTGAGTTCAGAGAGGATCTGGGAGGGCGGGGGAACCCCATCTTTCTCCGGCCCCCCCGGGGCTGGCTGGGGTGGGGGAGGGGAAGCGGTCCAGCTGTCGGGCAGCAGGGATGGGCCTGGGAAGCCCATGGATGTCCCTCCAGCTGGTGCCGCAGCTCCAGCCCGCGTGATTTAGGCAAAGTGCAAGGGGCTTGGCAGTGACAGGCGTCGGGAGAGGGGGGCCGCAGGGAGGCAGGTACGGACACGGCACCCGGCTCTCCTGGGAGCCAGCGCGATCGGGGTCTCCTGGGAGCCCAAGGCGGCCTCAGGATTTCAGAGACGAGAGTCACAGTCATACCGAGGACAAGCTACACACTCCTCAGGCTCAGAACTCGGACTGAAGGAAGAACTTTCCAAAACAACACACACAGAAAATTCCAGCTCCCCTCCTCCGGCCCCACAGTCCTCCCTGGCTGTGACGGCCACGCCCAGAGCTCAGGACATGCTCGTTTGCATAGCACAGCTTAGCGGGGGAGCTGGTCCCCACGTCACCCCTCGGCCTCTGGGGACCCCGCGCCTGGCCTGTCTGCACGAGGGGCATCTGGCGCACGACGCGGTGCCCCCCACCCAGGCGGCCTCGGCGGGGTTGGAACGGCCAGAGAAGGAGCTTGTGACCCAGCTCGACCCGCGGAGGGGGCACGGAGTGGGTGATGAGTTTGGTTTGGGGAGGGACCCTGACGTCCAATGGGACATGCCACAAGAGTGGCACACGCGTGTGCACTCGGGCTGAAGCAGTATGGAAAAGGGGTGACCTTGGCAATGGGAAAGGCCAGAGGCTGAGGAAGGCAGCGGACCCGAGACCCCTGGTGGAGAACATGCTGCCTCCGCAGGTACCCGCAACTGCCCCAGCCCGCCGGGGCTCACCCTGACCCCGAGCAGCAGCTGTGGGTCTTGCTCCTGTGGTCCTCCTTGTCCTTTGTCCATGCTGGGAACTCCTCTCCCCAAGGGTGGCTCTGGGACCCTCACCCCCTTCCCTGGGGAGTGTGCTATCTCCAGCCTGGGAGAGCCAGAGAGCTGACCACACGCAGGACTCCCCCGTGAGGGGGGAGAGGCTGCTTCCCGCCCAGAAACGGCGTCCTGGAAAGAGACGCACCGTGCTGTGTGCAGAGGCGGCCGGAGCTGCTCCAGGGGGTCCCTGGACACAGCCCCTTTTGCTGTCCTCCCCAGTCTGGCTTGAGAGTCAAACACCCACGGAAAGAGCAAGGCCAGCTCTGAGGGTCAACGGCACCCCCGTCCCCGGGGGCTGCTCGCGGCCGACGGGTCCGCAGGAAAGGAGTGGACAGTTTCTGGTGGGTGGAGCCCAGAGGCGGCTCTGGGACGGGTGGGGGGTCTCTCCCCAGCCCTCTGGAGCAGACTGGGGGCCGTGGGCAGGAGCACAGGTCCACGTGGGGTGCGGTGGGGGACAGGGCTGCCAGACGCCCTGCAGGACCGAGAGCCTGGCTGTTGTCTCCAGCTGGGAAGAAGTCAGCGTCCCCGACAACTGCATGGCCCCAGGGGTGGCCAGAGGTGTGGAAAGTGGACAGGGGTTCGGACTGATGCATGTTCTTGGGGCCTTTGATGGGGTCCCCTGGAGTCCAGTCACGAGGGGTGCAGGTCTGAGCTGTGACTTCTTGAGACAACACACTCTCCTGGCTGGCATTCGGGGTGGCCGATGGCCCTGATGGGGGCCGTGGCTGGCTAGGGGGTCTGGGGGTGGCCGAGGGCAGAGATGGGAAGGTACAGGATGGTCCTGGACCCCGTCCGCCCCAGCTGTTCACAGCATCTGGGAATGGGGGAGGAGCCACAAATGGGGTGACGGCCAAATCCGCGGTCCTGCCTTGGGCCATCAGGGCTTGGCCAGCCCCAGGGGACCTTTCCGCTGCGGGAGCCGAAGGCTGAGCCCGGCCCCGGCTGGCCTGGGGACCCCCGGGGGCCCAGGGCACCCTGACTGTGCACAGCAAAGGATGCTGGGATTTGGACCCCAAACTTGTTTGTTCAAATGAGTCACCCACTTTCTTTTTCTTAAGAAAAGACCAATTAAAAAAAGAAAAGAAAGAAAGACACATTCTCCCCCGTTCCCTAATCGATGCGGTGGGCGCTGGGTGGGCCGGGCCGGGCGGAGGGGAACCTGCCTGTCTGCTCTTGGTCACTCCTGAGTTTGAGGGAATCTGACACGTGTACCCAAAGGCACTTTCATTTTTTTTTTTTTTAAAAACAGTGCTTCTGCTCTAAGAAATTCAAGTTAAGACAGGGTGCCTCTCGCTCTCCTGCAGGGACAGGCCGGCCACCGAGGTGGGCAGCGCGGGCGCACGTGCGCCTGGGGTGAGTGTTCATGCTGGACAGCTCAGTGCTGGGGAGGGCGGGGGCCCCGGACACACCACTAATGACAGTCGCGGGAGAGTCGCGCACCGCTGCCTCTGCGCAGTCCTGCTCCTCGGCGTCCGAGCGCGGCTCTCCTTTCGGTCCGAAGACGTGCGGGCGGCTAATCCTCGTCGCCGCCTCCGTACATGTCCGCCAGCTTCTTGAACCGGGGCCCCCAGTCGTTGAGGTAATCGTAGTCTTGGTCCCCGGAGCTGGACGAGTTCAGGGAGCTGACGGAGCCCGCGGTGGAGCCGCTGCCTTCGTAGTCGAAGACCAGCAGCGAGTCGTAGGGCGGCGCCGTGGGGTCGTTGTCGGCGGCTCGGAGCCCCTGGGGTCAGGGAGACGCGGGTTAGGGCGAGGCTGCGCCGTCTCCACCCAGGGGCCCGGGGCGGCCGGTGGGAGCTGGGGCAGGGAGACCGGGTTATAGGGCCAGGCACACAGTAGGTGCTCAAGAAACGCTCTCTGCGTTTCACGGAAGGGCTGTCAGAGGACGGAGCAGGGAAGGGCATTTATGAAAACCGAGGCTGGCAGGTGTTGGGGGAACAAACTCGGGCGCCAGCAGCGGGAGGGGCGTGGGGCTGGGGGGCGGCCGGCAGTCAGGACCCGGAAGTAAGGTGAGACGCCCCAGGAACAGCATTTGGCAACGTGGCAGGGGCCACCCCCTCCTTCAGCCCGCGGTGTGACCTCCACCGCCAGTGCTTGCTCCGTCTGCAGTGGCTGCGGGTGCCCCTGGGAGCAGCTCTCCCCGAGACCGTGGGAGTGGTGGGTGCGCGCCCGGGTCTCCGGCCCCACGGCGGGCGACTCCACGCTGCATGTTTTGTGCCGGCTCTCGGAGTCCCCCGCGGGAGGGAGCCCCGGGTGCCGACGGTGGTCGCGGCTGGATGGGGCACCTCACTGGCTCCCTCTCTCCCCTGCCTGACCCCCACCCACCTGTGCTCCCCGAGATCAGCCCCCAAATCCTCCTCTGGGTCTGCTTCTGGGGGAACCCAGACTGCAGACTGCGATCGGAAGTGAATTCAAACCGAAAGCAAACTCCAGTGGGCGAGGCAAGGCTCCCGCCTGTGGGTACGGACGCCAAACTGGACGTCGTAAAGGACCCGGGGCTGGGCCCACCTCCCTGCGCCCCTGTGCCCCCGCTGTGGCCTCAGCCGCGAGGCAGGGTCAGCCGCGGTCTGCAGCGCTGGGCTCTAACCCCCAGGCTGTCCCTGACACCACCCAGGCGAAGCCAGCGCGGAGGGAAGGGCTCAGCTAGCTAATACCCCGCGCGGTTAAATATCGATGCTTTTGCTAAAAACCAACTGCTCGCAGATTCTGGGGCTAAAGAGAGAAGGGACAAGACGTTTCATAGCAGGATTCAAGATCCCTCGTCTTTCTAGAGAGATGGGGAAGGGTCGCAGCTTCACGTCACGCGACGTTTTGGGCGCAGGGAGGTCTGGGTCTGAACCGCACAACCCGCTTCCAGGTGGCCGGGGCCGCTCCGAACCTTCTCCTCCGTAGATCGCTGCCATCGTGAATTTCTTTCCTCTCGGGGACATTTTTCTTTGGGTTTATCTTGCTGTCTTTTTTTCTAGCTGCTTGAGTTGAAAGTTCAGCGCCTTTAATTCCTGCTGCCCATTCCCTACCGATGTGTTTCAGGCCGATGCTTTCCGCCGGTGCCACCTGGCCAGCCCGCCCGGGCAGCGTGCCCTGAGCTTCGCTCGGGGCTGAATGCTTGCTGGTTTTCATTTTTAATTTCCTCTAAGAGTTATTTAAAAATGGGCTTTTAATTATAGATCGCAGGACATACTTTGGGGGTTTTAGACCTTTATCACATCACAGACAGTGTTGCTGGGGCAGCATCCACTTTCGGGTGGTCGTAGGGATGGCATCTGTGGCCCGGCCGGCGTCGTGCTTTGGGGAGTGCTCTGAGACATCTCTGTGAGTCTCTGCTGAGTCGATCCCGGGGTTATTGTCACTTAAACGGATTCTTTTAAAGTTAGGTTCTGACCCGGGCCCAGCTGTCAGCGCTGCGGGTATTTGGGAGCAGCTGGCGAAAGCATGGGGTCCCCCGCTGGCCGACGGGGACCAGTGGGGACAGAGGGGAGGGAGCAGCTGCGCGGAGGCGGCTCCCGGGGAGACGTCTGTCCTGCTTCGGGCTGTTCCTCCAAGTGCTCCCCCCGGGAAGGGTGATGGCAGCAGCACAGGAGGCGGCGTCCTGGACGGAGCCGACACAGGAGGTGGGCACCCTGGACGGAGCTGAAGGCCGCCCTGGCTGCGCCAGCAGCTGTTGCAGACTCGGGCAGATGGGAGCTCAGAGGCTGCTCATCGGGTCTTTGGCGCCAACTTGCCTCCAAGCCCCAGTGTCAGGCTGGGCCGTGCTCAGGTGGCAGCTCCGGAGGGAGGTCACCTTTGGACTGGCTCCCACCTGCTGTGTCCGGCTGCACAGGGTGGGAGGGGCGTTGGCCCAGGCCTGCTGGAGACCAGGCCTCCTCGGGCTGCGCCTGCCTGGCACGGGGGTGAGTGGAGACCAGCGGGGGCGGGGCACGTGCTGACGGCAGTGGGTCAGGTCTGCAAACAGGGCGCGAGGGGCACCCTGTACCCAAGTCCTGCACCGCTGTCACCTCCACTGCTTCTGCTCCCGAAAGCTGTTCCTACGCAAGCACCTGGGCAGCTGCCCCGAGTCTCAGGAAGCACCTGCTGTAGCCCAGCCGGGTGTTAGTCCCCGCCCTGCCTGGGGGCGGGACTCTCAGTCCTGGGACAGAGGAGGATGCGGAGGCAGGAAATCGCCCAGGGCCTCACGGCTGGCATGGCAGGGCCAGCCCTGAGCCTGGTCCGATCTGCCTCCTCACCCCCGTGCGCCGCTGCTGTGTGTGTGTGTGTGTGTGTGTGAGAGGGGTTTTATCTCTGGAAGGGACACCCTGCTCGGGCCCTCCCCCGGCCCAGCACCCACCTCGCTGATGAAGTCGCCGATGTCGCCCGGGTGGGGCACCACGGGCCTGGCTGGGTACTGGGGCTCGGCGCCCACCGGCCGCTCGTCCACTCGCCGCACCCCGGGCGCCTTGCTCAGCACGTGCTCCATGGCTTCCGGCTGCTGCAGCTGGCTGAGGTCATAGTCCTGGGGGGCCAAGCGCAGTCAGGGGGAGGCTGGGCAGGGGGTGGGGGTGCAGGGACAGGCGGCAAATGCTGTGCCCTGTCCTGTTCCGTGCCCTGGGCCCTGGGGCACCTGCCGTCCCGTTGCGTCACCACTCTGCCCCTCCCCCGATGCCGCGTCCTTGCCACTTTCCCGCAGCTGTGGTCTTTGCCGGCTGCCCTCGGTGGCCTGGCGCTCCAGGTGACCCCCTGCCAGGCTGCTCGGTGACAACGTGCGCCCCGAGTGCTCAGACGAGAGGGCTGCCCTCCCCTCGCGCCCCTTCCTCGTGTGCCCCTTGTGGGCCGGGACGCAGCGGGTTAAGGACCTGCCCCGAGTCCCCCGGCAGCCAACCAGGTGACTCCAGGTCCACCCTCCTGGGCGCCGGTGCCTGTCCCTGGCACTTGGCAGCCTCCAGCACATGGGCCAGTGGGCGTCCCTGTCCCCGGCCCACCCGAGCCCCGCTCGCGGGCGCAGGGCGGCACTGGGCTGGGCGTGGCTGCAGGGAGGGTGAAGGCGACACGGGGCGTCGCGGGCCCCTCGCGGAAGGCACAGCCCAGCCCGGCTGGCAACGTGACCTGGGCGGGGGACGAGGTCTGGGAAGCCGCCCTCCCGCGTCCGACTCTGCATGTCCTGCAATGAACGCGTGACGCCTTCACGCCGTGAAAAAGGCCGAATGTCTACTGTTGGCTGAGAGCCGGACACATGCGGGGAGGCCTGGGCCGCCCCGTCTCACCTGGTCCTCCTCTCCGCCGCCTTCCTCGTCGTACTTGAGGATGTTGTCGCGCACGTCGTCCTCGGGGTCGATGAGCAGCTGCTTGGTGTGGCGCTCCTTCTCCCGCCGCTTCATCCACACGACGAACAGCAGGACCATGGCTGGGGGAGGGGCCGCACCTTAGGCAGGGCGTGCGTGTGTGCGTGTGCACGCCTGTGTCCGTGTGGGCATGTATGTGCGGGCATGCAAAGTATGCCTATAAGGATGGCCATGTGTGCCTGTGCGTGTATGAAAACGTGCATGCCCGTGCCCGTGTGCACATTCACATGCACGTATGCATGTTCCATTCATGTCTGTGTAAACGTGTATCCGTGCATGTGCGTGAGCATCTGCACATGCACACGTGTGCACGCATGTGTCCCTGTGTGTGACTGCATGGATCTGTGTGTATGGCATGTGCCTTTGTGTTCACGTGTGTATATGTGCACATACATCTGCACAGATCTGTGTGCATGTCTGTGTCTTCATATGTACTTCATGTGTGGGTGTATGCTCACTCGCATACAGGTGTGGGTGGGAACGTGGGCATGCATTTGTACGTGTGCATAGTGCGTGTGTGCTGTGTGGTGCACACGTGTGTGCCTAGGAATACGTCTGTGTGTGCAGTTTCTGAGGCAGAGCTGGCCGGGCTCACGCCCTCTCTCCTACCCGCTGCCTGGGCACTGGGACAGTATTTGAGATATTTATCTACTTATTTCCCTCCCACACCCCACAGGAGGAGGAGGCTGGCTCAGCGCAGACCTTGCTGCTGTGGGTGGGGGCTGAGGGGCCCATCCGGAAGTCCTTCTGACAGTCACGCCTTCCCTAGTGGGAGGAGAGGGCTTGGCGGAGGAGGTGACAGCGAGGGCTTTGTGAGCGGCCCTAGGGGTCCTGCTCCCGAAGGGGCCCTGGGGAGGGGTCCGGGCAGGCTGTAGGGGACAGGGGGGCAGCCCTGCCCAGCACCGAAGGGCGAGTGGGCAGCAGACCGGGGGCTTTTCCCCAAATCCAAAGGACCCGGGCGCAGGCTCAGACGTTCAGGCGGAAAGTGAAGAGAGGCCGCGCCCCTCACCCCTCACTGGTGGATGGAGGGGTCTCCTCCCCACCCCGAGTCGGCCCCTCCCTGCCTTGTGGTCTGTGCCCGGCCCGCTCCCCCAGATGCTCTTTCCGGGGTGCCTCTGCTCCCAGGAAGGGCCCTTGGACCGTCTGTGCTCTGCGCCGCGGCTCCGCATGGGTTCAGGAGGGTGACGCTGCCCGCGCCCTGTAAACGCCGGCATGCGTCACTCCGTCCATCCTCCCCACTCCGCAGAGGCGCAGCCCTCGGCCCAGAAGTGCCAGGCAGGGCGTGAGCCCGCGTCGGGGTGGCCCAGGCCGGAGAACAGGCCTCTGGAGCGAGCCTGGGTGCCGTGACAGGCATCCCACTCGGGGAGTGACCGGCAGCCTCTCCTGCGCATGTGAAGGCCCAAGGTGTGGCCGGGGACCCTCCCTGGTGTGGCCCAGATTGTGAGAGAGGGACCTGCAGACCAGGAGGGAGGAGCCGCTGAGCGAGAACCTAGAGCCTGGTCTCAGCTGGACAAACGCTGCAAGGTCGAGCGGCGGCCAGCGAGGCCGGCTCCGAGCTCATGGCGGCACTCGGGTGTGTGCGCAGGAGACACGATGAACGGGGCTGAGGAGGGGCGAGGAGGGGCCACCCAACGCCCCCAGTGCGCCCTGCTGGGGCCGAGGTGCTCACGCCGTGGCAGAAGCCACGCCTGCTGGTGTTTCTGCTCGCTGACCCTGGTCCCTGGCCCGACCCGCTGCCCTCCAGCAGTGGCCCAGGTTCCCCCTGGCTGGTCCCACGCCCTTTCCCCATGGTGCTCTCAGCGCTGGCCCTGGCACGTCCTCACCGCAGGGACCTCTCTGAGGATGTGGCCCCACCTCTGCCCCGGAGCCCCTGCCAGCCCCCGCGAGGCTGGAAACGGGCCAGGCCTCGGGAGGCCCCGCCAGCCGCTCCCAGGCCGGCCCCACCTGACTGAGGGTGAGGGAGGCCCCATCTCCCGTTACACGCGACCCGCTCGGCGGGGTCCCGGCGGATGAGATGAGGCCGAGAGATGTGGGCTGTGGGGCCCGCCCGGCCCTGCCTGCGCCCGGCCTCCCTGGGACGGAGACTGGCACCCCCGCCCTGCCCCCACGCCTGCCCCCACTCACTGAGCAGGATGAGGATGCAGATGAGGATGGCCACGATGGCGCCGGTGCCCAGCCCAGCCGCTGCCACTGCGCCGATGGTGGTGCAGTCGCCGTTGTCGTCACACGGGCACACTTTGACCTTGATGATGGACGTGTTGGTCAGGGGCGGGTTCCCGGAGTCTGTGACGATGATGGGGACGTCGTACATCCCGGCCTCCAGGTACAAGATGCGCAGGCTGAGCTGGGCGTAGTCACCTGGTGCAAAGCGACAGTGAAGTTCAGCCTCCTCTCCAAGCGAGACTTGCAAAGGAAAGGCCCAGGCTGCTGTCACGAGAATCCAGAATATCTGCTTGGCCGACACGCACGCACGCCTGCGCACACGGCAGGCCACGCCATTCAGCTAAGAGATGCTGTGGATGCCAGAAAAGAGCAATTGCACGTGGGATGAAGAAGTAATTTCCTGAATATGTAAAGAGTTTTACCAAATCAATTAGAAAAAATCCTCCCAAAGAAAAACAGGCAAAGACGGGAGCGGGCAGTTTACAGCAGGGACAAAACGGCCGATACATAAAATAGTTTCCACTGGTGCCAAGGGATGCAGATGGAAAAAATGATTTTGGCCACAAAATTGGCAAAATGCTGTTTAAAATGGTAGTGTTCAGCGTTGGTGAGGGTCTGAGGAGACAGGCCCCGCTGGTGGAAGGAGGTGTTGGTATGATGTTTCTAGAAGGTGTTTCCGCTTGCCACCGAACGTCAGAACTCCGGTGCCCGTGTGCACGACAGACCCGCGTCTGGAGACAGGTCGGTCAGGGCCCGTCAGGGGGAAGCCGGCTCTGCACCGGGACATTCGCAGCCACAGCCGCGAGGACACTCACGCTGAGCTCGTTAAAACCGCGAGAAACTGGGGATGACTCGTGGCCTCCCGGGGAAGGCGTGAGCCGGGGACAACTGAAGACTTGTGGGGCGGCCGCCGGGAGGGCAAAGCCCAGACAGTCCTGGCGGAGGCCACCCCACTCTGGCACTCACTCGGCACTGCAGACGCGGTCGGGCCCGCGGCTGGCCACCGTGGCGTGGGCCCGAGGCGCGCTCACCGTTCAAGCGGGTGATGGTCCAGTTCTTGCGCACGGCGGCCGGGACGAAGGGCAGCTCGAAGACGTAGGGGCCGATGTTGGGGTCCACGTCGGCGTCGGCCGCGGTGATGTTGATGGCGTTGAGGTTGGGCCGCTCGCAGATCTGCGCTTCCTTGGGCAGCAGCTCGGGGGCGTTGTCATTGATGTCGATGAGATAGATCTGGAGGGTGCCCGTGCCGCTGGCCGGGGGGATCCCTGCGGGAGGGACGCGGGTGACCGCTTGGGGACAGACACGGGGACACGCCCACAGTCCCACAGGTAGATGCAGGGCGCGGCCGCCCACACGCCCACGGCCCAGCCGGAGCCCCCCGCACTGAGACCCCGCAGGCCAGAGGCGGCCACCTGGCTGCAGCCGACGAGTCAGCAGACAAACAGCGCACGCGACCACACAGACCACTGCGCGCACACGGTGGGAGGCCCGTCCCGCAGGACACACCCCTCCTGACGGTGCAGCGACGTGCGGCGGTGTCACGGCCTCACACTGGGGGCCCCACCCTGTGGGGGGGTCCAGAGGGGCTCTGAGGACGCTGGCGCGTGGGCTCTGCACACAAGCACCTCTCCCCCGCCGGGGGCCTCCTGGGGCAGAACCTGCCCTTCCTCCGTCCCGCATCCGCCTGGCCCCACCGCAGGCTCCCTGGGCCGCTTAACGGGAGGAGGAACCGCCCTGGGAACTGTGGGCGAGGAAGACGGACGGGGCTCTCAGGACGAGGGCAGCCCGGGCCCGGCAGGTGGTCCACCAGGGCCTCGGTATCAAGAGAGGCGCCTGGCTGAGCCCCAGTGCCCCTCAGGGGGCCACCGTGTCCCCGAATCCCCCATGTGCCCAACGCCTGCTTCGGCCCAGGCCAGTGGGGCTGGAGGACGCCGGCCGGGCCACCAGAATTGGGACAGAGAGACGCTGGAGGAGGTGGCGGCGGCGGCAATGTTCTGACCAGGGCTCTGCCTTCCGGGGGCAACTCCTGCCCCTTCCCCTGACTTCAAGACGCGCGCTTCGGGCCGAGGCAGGCGAGCGTGTGAAGAACGATCCTACAGGATGTCTCTCGAATCTTCCAGAAGACGATCAAACATATTTAGGGCGACGCAGCCTGGCGCGGCCTTCGACAACTGCTCTGAGAAGCAGCGGATGTCACGGCACGTGATCGGGACAGGCGTGGACAGGTCCTACTAACCCGCGAGCTCCCGCTCCGGCCCTGCCACCAGGCCGGGCCCACAAGTGTCCTCCCCGAGCTTCCCACGGCTCCACTGGCACAGATGCAGGTCCGTTTACGACCACGTTCTCCTCTAACCTCGGGGCTCCCCCTGCTGCAGGGACAGATGCTCCCCACCAGGGCCCGGTGCTCACAGGCAGCTATGCGGCCCAGGCTTCAGGACCCCAGGGTGGTCACCATGTCCCACTTTCACCTGCTCCAGGAAGAGCTTTTTTGCAACGGCTGCTCTTGCTTGTGAAGCTTAAGCTGAGCAGCTGTTCTCGACCCTCCCAGGTGTGCCCTGCCCCGGGACCTTTGTATGTGCTGTTTCCTGATTCTGGGACACTCCTGCTCTACCTTCCCCTGGCTTGTTCCTTCTGACTCACAGGTCTTGGTCCCAAGGTTGGCTCCTCATCACCAAGGGGAGGCCCTGGTCCCTCTCCCATCTTCCTGTTTTGTTTTCTTCCAGAACTTTCCTCAACCTGAAATTGTCTGGTTTACTGGTTTCTCACCTGTCTTCCCAGGGTAGAGACAGCTAAGTCGTCCCCATTATCTATTTTCTGCTTTCTTTTAATGAGAGAACTGCAACCCCACATTTTATCTGGGATCAGTGCTATCCACCTAGAAGCACCTACGTTCCCAGCTCCCTCTTAGCTGGAAGAGGCAGCATAAGTTCTGGCCTGTGTGGTGCTTCCTGGAAGTCCTCAGAAGGGCAGGGGTGTGCCTGTACCCTCCTTACTCCTCCTTTTGTTTTTCAGAAGGTGGATGTGATGGCTGGAGCACCAGCAGCCATTCTGGACCACGCCAAGCATGGGGGAGTGAGCCAGGTTCTCAGATCTGACCCAGGCCACCTGCCTCCAGCCTTCTTATATGTGAGGGAAAATAAGCCTTAATCTTGTTGAAATTATTGTCATTATTATGCAACTGAACCAGCTGACACACACAGGATGTCAGCCATGCAAAGGCAGGCCTTGGGCACAAGCCAGTGCTCCGGGAACAGCAGTCTGGCAAATACTGGCCCAGCGCTCACTGTGCCAGATCCTACCTCAGTGCTGGGGTGACACAGACTCCTTTGACTCTTGGAGGTGCTGGACTGACCTCTGGTTCCAGAATCTTCACTCCCACCCACTCTGCCAGCACCTTGCTCCTCAAGACACTACCCACATCCCTCAGAAAGCCCCGAGTGCTCCAGAACCTTCTTCCCGCTGCCTCTGCCCCGCCTGTGCTCAGCCTCCCACCTGGGCTCCTGGGGTCCTCCACTGTCACCTGCCCTGGGGCCTCCCCTGCCTTCTCGGGCTCCCAGGGCCTCGGTCCCTGCCCCTGCTGAGACCGAGGGTGCAGGCGTCGTGGGTGGTCACCGCAGAGGCGACATCCTAGGGGCTGCCCGGGGACGGGGCTGCTGCGCGGCGGGGGGGGCCTGCCCTGCCTTCTCTGGTCCTCGGCAAGTGCTGCCGGCTGAAGACGCTGAAAACCGCGGGTCTGGGTCTAAGGCCTCGGTTTCGGGGGGAGCCCAGCTGTTCAGGTCACAGAGTTAGGCGAGGCCGTCGGCCACCGTGCCTGACTGCCCTGGCACCCACGAGCGAGTGAGTGACAGCAGGAACCACAGAACGGGGACGAGTGAGTGGGTGACGGTGGTCAGGCGGAACTGGAGTGTGGATGAGTGGGGGGCACCGCCTGGGGACAGCGAGGGACAAGGACCCCTGACTCCCAGCGTCTGTGCAGACGCTGCCTCGTCCGCCCCCAGCCCTCCCTGGCCAGTGCCCTTCCTCGCCCACGGAACCAGACACGGGACAGCCACGACAGCTGCCTCCCCGGAGCTGGGCGCACCGTTGTCAGCCGCCAGGAAGGTGGCCTCGTAGACGTTGTTTCTGACGTAGAGGGACTCGCGGTCGAGGACTGCCGCCGTGGTGATCTGGCCGTTGGTGGCGTTGATGTGCAGCCAGTTCGCCGGGTCCGACAGCTTTGAGTATCTGCGGGGAGAGGACGTGAGGGGGCCGGGGGCTGGGCGAGCAGCTGCCCCTAGGGTCACCTGCCAGCCGCACGTCCCGGCACAGGCCAGTGTTTCTGCGCCTTGGAGAGCCTGGAGCCGTGCCCTCCTCGGGGCTCCCTCCACCCTGCACCGGCCCCAGCGGGACAGGCCCCGGCAGCAGCCAGTGGCCACTGAGCTCTGGCTGGGGTGGGCATCCCAACCTGCTGTGTGCCCCACGGACAGTTGTGCTCATCGTGTCCATTTCATAGATGGGGACACTGAGGAACAGAGAGGGTAAGTGACTTGCCAAAGTTGCACAGCTAGTGAGAGTGCAGCAGGGTCAGAACCCGCCTCGATGTCTACCCACTTCCCACTCCTCCCCCTGCAAACCCTGATGGGGATTCCTGGCACCAGGCTCTCCCCGGATCGGGGCTGCTGCTGCTCCCTGCTTGGAAGGACACCTCGGGTCAGGACGCCCCACCGACCGGCTGGGGTTTCTGGGTTGTGGGGTTCACTGGGCATTTCGGGACTCTTACGCATGGAAAGCGGGGGCCTGAGGGTCGGAAGCCACTTCCAGAGGGCCCAAGGGTAGGGTGCGGGGGGCTGTGCCCTGCGGACCCACCTCACGGCTTGTTGCATGAACCGGTCGGGGTCCACGGCTGAAAACGTGGTCAGCACGGTGCCCGTGGGCACACCCTCCTCCAGGCGGATCAGCTTGTGGTTCGCGGGGAAGTAGGGGGCCTCGTTGACGTCCATGACTGAGATGGTCACGCCTGCTGTGGACTGGAAGGACATCTGGATCCCGCTGGCCAGGGGTGCCTGGTTGGACACCATCACCGTCAGCATGAAGGCTCTGTTCAGCTCGTAGTCCACGGCCTGGAACGAGAGGCAGGCGGCGTGGGGTGGCCCGGGGCAGCCCGTGGCGGGAACCTGGGCGGGTCGTCCCCTCCCCACGCCGAGCTAGTGCCGGCTCTTCTCTGCCCCAAGGGGTCCCAGTGCCCGGCTGCCCTGAGCTGGGTTTGGCCCACAGGGGGAGAGCGGGGCTGGGGGAGAGGATGCTCGGTCCCCTGCCCCATGCCATGGTGAGGCAGCGGCCGGGTCCCTGGGTGCTACAGCCCCTGTTGGTGGCTCCTCTTCCGGCCCTGGGACCCCATCCCCTCCCTGCTTGTCTGGGGTGCCTCACCAGGTGCAGTGGGCTGAATGGTGGCCCCCGGAAGACATGACCCCCTGGAACCTGTGAACGGGCCCTTGTGTGGAAATAGCCTTCGCAGGGGTAAGTTAAGGGTCTTGAGATGGACGGAGACACGAGACAGAGGCCCTGGCAAGGGAGAGACCGGGACGTTTGAGACACATGATGCAGGGGCTGTGAGAAGACGGGGGTGGGGTGGCGGGAAGCAGCTCCAAGACGCAGACCCCAAAGATGGCCAGCAACCGCCGGAAGCGGGGAGAGGCGGGGATGCGCCCTGGAGCCTCCCGGGGGGCACGGCCTGCCCACACCTGGCCTCAGACCTCCGGCCTCCGCAGCCGCGGGGAGCGCGGTTCTGCTGTTCTGCAGTTGGTCACCGCGGCCCCCAGACACCACGCACCAGGCTCGGGCGCCTCGTTACGTCCTTTCCGTGTGCCGGGCCCCTGACCCATGAACACTGGCGCGGTTCCGCAGTCGGTGGTGTTTTATCAGAAAAGCTGCGCTCGAGCTTTCCTACGCGCTGGGGAGGGAGGGGAGTTACACAGAAACAGCCGGGCGCGCTGAGACCTGTCCGACGGCAAAGCTCGCAACAGCCTCACTGGAAAAGCAGCACAACAGGCTGCAACTGCGTTAAATATTCTGCGTAGACACATCCAGGTTACGTGCGCGAGGTCACGCGTCGTGGTATTATCGCAGAGGCTGCGTACTGGAAACAGCCCCACGTCCGTGGTACCAGCTGGCCGGAGGCCTGCCCCGCGTCGCGCAGTGGCGACGTCTGCGCCGTGAACGGGAGTGAGAACGGTCCTGGGGACGGCTCCAGGGTCTGTCGGTGAGCAAGAGGGAGAAGAGTATGGCTTTGTACACGTAGGTGATCATATTTGCAGCAAGAAACACTGCAAGCACACACGGAAAACTAATGGAAATGGGCGTCCGTAATCAGAGGGAAGGAATGGGGTGAAGGGTACCCCGGGAGCGTGAGTTTGCCGCATGCGTCTAGTCACGCAGCTTGGATTTTGGAGTCATACGTTACCTTACACGCTCACATTTTAGGTAGGACAAGTGACATTATATATATAAAGCAATCGCCAAAAATGCAAACGATTAGGAACTATTGAATGACGCTGGTAGGTCATTAAGCATGAGATTTCCTATGTCCTTAAGATCTAAGTTAGACAGTTGACATCGCTGACATTTCACTCTGGCACTTCTTGTTTCCTGTTTATTGTGAAGGCACATCCTCGTTCTTTCAGACACACATTGTGGCTTGTGATTACCTTTCAAATTTTTTTAGAGCAATTTTTGTGAAATCGTAAGTCAAAAGTTGTGTTATTTTTGAATACGAGTTCTGTCATGGAACCAACGCAGCGCAGAGAGCTCGAAATATCAACGAAGTGTTTAGGAAGGGTGTGGATAATGAACACACAGTACGTCGATGGTTTGAGAAGCTCCGCTGTGGTGATTTTAATCTTGAAAATGAGCCACGTGGGCGACCTGAGACCAAGGTGGATAACGATGAGCTGAAAGCTGTAGTGGAAGCGAATCCATCTCAACCTATGCGTGAATCAGCAGCAAGGTTTGATGTTACTGTTCGAACAGTATTGGACCATTCGAAACAAATGGGCAAGGTAAAGAAGCTGGATGGATGGGTTCCGCGTGAATTAAACGAGGGTCAGAAGAGAAATTGTCTAGAAGTTTCCTTTCTTTGCTGTTGCGACATAAAGGCAAACCGTTTCTATGCCGTATTGCGATGTGTGATGAGAAATGGATTCTTTTTGACAATCACAAGTGTTCGGCACAATGGCTGGATAAAGAGGAAGTGCTGAAACACAGACAAAAACCGAATATTCATCTAAAAAAGCGAATGGTGTCCGTGTGGTGGTCCAGTGCGGGTATCGCCCACTACGGCTTCATGAAACCCGGGCAATGGATTATAGTGATGTCCACTGCAACCAATTTGATAAAATGATGAGGATGCTTGTGATTAAGCAGCCGAGATGGGTAATAGAGACAGGACAATCCTCTTTCATGACAATGCTTGACCACATGTCACACAAACAACGCTGCTCAAACTACAGAGGCTGGACTTGGAAACTCTCTGTCATCCACCGTATTCACCAGACCTTGCACCAACTGACTGCCACTTCCTGCAGGCTTTGGACCACTTTTTGCAAGGAAGAATATTCAATTCCCAACAAGCTGTGGAAAATGCCTTTCACGATTTCATCTCCACTCGCTCTCCAGGCTTCTTTGCTGCTGGCATGAACGAGCTGCTGTTAAGATGGCGAAACTGTGTCGATAGCTTAGGCGCATACTTGGATTAATTGTACTGCTTCTTCTTCGAGATATAACAAATGGCACTTTTGATTTGAAATCGGACGTTTCGTATTTAATGACCTAGTACCTGTATGTAAACTGGTGGCGTGACTCCCGCGACAATGATGACTCCACGTGATGGGGCACAGGTGGTACGTCCTTGCTGGGATTTATTCTCAAGTGATAATTGCAAGGAAATCTGAAACTCTTTTGGTCTTCTTGCTGTTGATAGTGACTGTGGATTCGTTATTTTTAAACTTTGAATGTATATCGTAGGATAAAGTCAATAAGCAATTATGTTAACATTGTTAGGAGCCAAGATTTTCAGTGTGAGAGAAATGAGACGCAGTGTAAAATCAGTGAAGTCAGATCGCTCTGACGTTGCCTGGATTAAATCCATCCTTTGCGTGATGACAGGGGGAGCAGAAGCCCGGCCCTGCTTCCTGGCAGCAGCGGTGGCTCAGCAGCGCTGAGCACCTCTCGGGCCGGATGTTGGTCTCTGAACACCGTTCCTCACTCGGGAAGGCTGACCCCGGAGCAAGGAAGAAATCCCAAAGCGAACGCGGCGTCTGGTCGGGCCACCACGCAAGGAAGCCACAGGCACAGGCGGCTGGTGGCGGAAGGGCGCAGACCCGGCCCGTGAGGCGCCCCCGCTTACCGACGGGGGGACGTCAACTCCGCGATACAGGGGTGGGGCTGTCACCACCTGCCCCCCGGCCAGGCTTAGGCTGTGAGTGGACAAGCAGACGCCGTGGGCTCCCCGCCAGGAACCGAGCTCTGGCCACAAGGCTCCTCCCCAGGGACTGACCCTTCACTCCTAAATCCCCGGTGACAAGAAACTCGGGAGACTGAGTGACAAGACACACGGCCCTGGGAGGAAGCAAGCTGATACATCTGGGATGTGGGAACTTGCACGGGTCGACTGGCTCCCTGTCTGTAACGGGCCACAGGTGGGTGGAATGTTCTAGATTTATTATACGAGATTCAAGAGACGTCTCAGCCAGCTGCAATGTGGGGACCCGGCGTGGATCGCATTTGGATGACCGCATCGCCAGGAGACAGTTTGAGGAAACTGAGGGAAACTGACTACCACCTCGTACTGGATGGTTTGAAGGGGACGCGGTCGGCTCTGCAGGCGCGGTGGCCGCGTGCTGCTATAAGCAAAACGCATTTTTGAGGGTGACGTGTCCCGACGTGCGGGAGCGGAGGATCGTGAGGTCTGGGAATTTGAAAAACACACTCCAGCAAAAACGTGCTGAGGCGACGCAAGGGCACGCCAGTTACGTGAGACTCACGTGAGGGTTCCGCGGAACACGCCGGATTCTCTCACTTCTAGGCACGCCGCGAGATCTTCGGTAAAAGGCGAAACTAATTTCCGCTTAGACAGGAACTCACGCGCTTGCGGAACCGGTTTTCCCGAGAAACCCGTGGTGGCTGGCGGGGAGGCTCCCGCAGCCGGCCCTGGCCTGGGGGATGCGTGGGCGCCGGAGGTGGAACCGGCCCAAACCAGCCCCGTCTCCGGGGCTCCCACGGTCTCGGCATTCGGTGTCCGTGAGCGTTAGCGATCACACGTCTGGCCGGTCAGACCCTTGACTTCTCCGCTGCTGCTGCTGCTGCTAACGAAGGTGTTTGAGTATAAAAAGAAGGAAGATAAACATTGAGTGACAGCACCGGCGGGCAGGGCCGGGGAGCCCGTGCCTGCGCCAGGAGGCTCTGGGTGGGGCGGGAGGCAGCGCGGAGCCAGCCCGGCCTACCCGCTCCTGCGCGAGGGCTGGAGACGGCAGCCAGGTGACGCTGCAGCAGGAGGGGGCAGGCTGCGTGCATCGCTGGGCGGGCAGCTCCCGGGACGCCCGACGTAAGAACATCTCAGAACTTCCTTCCCGCGTGTCCTCTGCAGGCTGCGCACCCCGGAGGGCGGCGGCCTGACCCGGGCGGGCCTGCAGGGTGTGGACGCGGCGCGGCGCCCGATGCTTCTGCGGGCGCAGCGACCCTGCGTGGAACTCAAGTACCTTCCTGCATTGGGGGACCAGCCAGGGCGAGGGACCAGCAGCCCCTCCCCGGCCCGCGACAACAGTGACGATGACAGCGAGGATGATGATGATGACAGTGACGCCGACAGCAGCTCCCACTGTCGGCCGAGTCCCTACTGTGTGTCCGACCTGTGCCAATGGTTTGTACCCGGCACCTACTTGAACATCAGCGACAGACCTTGGGCTCAGGCCCCAGCACCCCTCTCTGCACAAGGACACCGAGGCGCAGACGGACGACCGGGGTGAGCAGCTCAGACCAGCGCCCTCGAGGTGCTGTGCGGCCCAGTGGGCCCTGCACGGCCCTGCCACCTCCCGTGCCACCGCCAGGCCCCTGAAAGAGAGCGCCGGAGAGGACGGCGTCGCCCAGTGAAGGCGAGGACCAGGCGGGGTCCTTTCTAGGGCGAAGTGTCCCCAGGCTGGACACGTGCCTTAAACAGACTCCAAATCGAAACTTTAGACAAAAGGACGAAATGGAATAAAGACAAGAATGAAGGAAAAGAGGGACAGTGTGGCTCCGACGCTGAGTTCTGCCCAGGACACAGTGACCCGTGACTGTGGGACAGCATGGCTGTGAGTCTGTGCGCTCAGCTCCGCAAGTTCTGTCATTTATTCTCAATTTACTCAGAGTAAGAGTCACTCTAATGACTGTAACCAGTGTCACCCACCCACCACCTCCATCAAGATGCAGAGAGTCCCGTCCCTGAGTCTCTGTGCTGCCCCTGTGGTCCGGCCCTCCCCACCTGACACTGGTTTGTTGTGCAAACGGAGGGCCGGCTCCTGGCCCCGCCACTCCAGGGACATGGAGTCCGAGCTGTGGGGTCGCAGAGCCTGGGAGGGGCTGGGAGGGCCGTGGCAGCCTCCCCCTGCTCTCTGGGGAAGGCCCCCTGCGGCTCCACCCTGCTTGGTCCTGCCCCCGTTGGGGACCCCTCCCAGGAGCGGCTGTTGCCTAGTAACAGCGAACAACCACCTTTGTGGCCTTGCAGGGACTAGGAAGTAACTCAAGGTCAAATGTGCCCCTAGAGCAAGAGAAAGGCTTTTGTCACAGCTTCACTCGGGCAGGAGAAGCCTGGCTCGCGGTCTGCGCGCACACAGATCTCATTTCCGCCACCGGGTGCTGTCGTGCTGAACCTCGCTCAGAAAGTTCATGACGGGGGGAGGAATTAAACACCCATCTTGCCTTTGCTCTAAGAACTCGCTCTGGGTGAACCCGTGGCCCCGTGTGAAGAAGGAAGCTCATGAAGTATCAGGGTGGAAATGTCACGACACACTAATTTACTTTCAAACACTTCAAAAGTGATTTAGTAAATGTAGCAAAATGTTAATTATTAAATCTAGGTGATGAGTATGTGAGGGTTCATTTTACTATTATTTCTGCTTTTCTGTATGTTTAAGAATTTTCATAAAGAAAGTAAAAATAACGAAGGGCTGGGAGTGGTGGCGCACGCCTGTGATCCCAGCACTCTGGGAGGCTGAGGCAGGAGGATCGCTTGAGGCCAAGAGTGTGAGGTTGCTGTGAGCTAGGCTGACGCCACGGCACTCTAGCCGGGTGATGGATGGAGACTCTGTCTCAAAAATAAATAAATAAAGTAAAAACAAGGAGCCAGGCGAGGTGGCTCACGCCTGTAATCCTAGCACTCTGGGAGGCC